TCGCCTGAAAGCAGCATCAGATTACTAGGTCCGACCTTATTTAATAAACGAACAACAGTGGTCCGATCAGTTTGACCGCTTAAACGAAAACGGCCCAGCAGGTGTTACTATAATTTGCACTACGATATTGAATGCCCGATACGCAATACGGAAATGACGACACGGTGTACATGCACATTTCGATTAAGATAATTGAGTCCTAGCTGTACTTTTTCCGGAAGTATGTCACGAAAATGGACGCTGATGACGATGTGTCGAGCCACCTTAAGCTGTCTTTCTGTACCATGTCATTGAGTTGTCTCCCCTTCCCCGAGAACTTTCTATTCATACCTTGCCCTTGAGGTTTTCCAAGCTGTCCCCTCCTATTACTTCTATCTTTCCACTTGACTGGTCATCCTGGAAAACAACAATATTTTATACTCTATATATTCTTTTAGAATGAAGGATACTCTGGCTGTGTGATCGGTTTATAACATCAGAGAAATTTTTGCATAGAACTTTGGATTTCACCTTTGTGTGTTACTAAGAGGAAACTAGGACCATTTCCTGTTGAGTCCCATATATATATACTTCAAGAATCGAGTATGACAGAATACTGATATTTTTTTCAAGTATGAGGGTATAGTGGAGTTACCATATACCACAGTTTGACTTTCGCGTTTTTCGCACTCCCCAAAATGAGGGGAAATTTATCAGGATAGCGAATAATTGTATACAACATGCAATATATAGTAATTATATACATTTGAAGAGCAAAATTTACACTGGGCGAACATGGATTTTATCAGAAGAGGGTGAAAATTTGACTGGGCAGAAGTTTTCCTGTATACAGTATGAGATTAACTTATACTTATAGCATCTTAGAGCCAACAAGATTACTAGCTAGGATCTTAGCTGAATTATGATTTAATATAGACCTATATATACATACTACATAGCTCCTGAGGCGTATAAAGTCGACAGCCAATGGGAGAGGTCTTTCCATATGGCTGTTCATCTGTTTTATTCTGTCCAGTAAGTCCGTAAAGAATTTGTAGCCTCCTTTTAGTACACAAAGGGCCACCATTCCTTCTGATGAAAAGTCACGCACAATGTCTTGGGCTAATCGTTCGATCCTGCAAAATCCAGATTAAAATAACAATACAAGTCCAAGCAGCAACATGGATCAAAATTTTAAAAACAAAACAAGTCATTGTGCCATAAAAATAAAAGTGTTAAGGATTCAAATAGATACAACTTTACAAAAAGGTTGCAGGTCAAACACAGGTCAACATAACTGTTGATTTTTTGTAGATGAAAAGATGGATAAAATTTGTTTGATTCACATGTCATTTTAACGCACAGATATATCACTCACCTGTCCTCAAAATGTACACTCAACTCATCACTCACATCATTAAAATGTACATGTAATTCATCACTCACATCATTAAAATGAACAGGTAATTCATCACCCACCTGTCTTAAAAATGAACATGTAATTTATCACTCACATTATTTAAAAGTAGAGTTTATCATCACTCACCTGTCCTCAAAATGTACATGTAATTCAACTATCACATCAGTTAAATGTACAGGTAATTCCTCACTCACCTGTTCTCAAAATGTACATGTAATTCAACTCTCACATCAGTTAAATGTACAGGTAATTCCTCACTCACCTATTCTCAAAATGTACCAACAACTTCTCTAAAATGTACAGGTAAACCCTCATTAACCTGTTCTCAAAATGTACAGGTAATTCTCTTAAATGTACAGGTAACTCAAAACTCACATCATTTAAATGTACAGGAAATTCATTATTCACCTGTCCTCAAAATGTACAGGAAATTCAACACTCACATCATTTAAATGTACAGGTAATTCATCACCCACCTGTCCTCAAAATGTACATGTTATTCAACTCTAACATCATTTAAATGTACAGGAAATTCATTGTTCACATGTCCTAAAAATGTACATGTAATTCAACTCTAACATCATTTAAATGTACGGGAAATTCATTATTCACCTGTCCTCAAAATGTACATGTAATTCAACTCTAACATCATTCAAATGTACAAGAAATTCATTATTCACCTGTCCTCAAAATGAACATGTAATTCAACTCTAACATCATTTAAATGTTCAGGAAAATCATTATTCTCCTGTCCTCAAAATGTACATGTAATTCAACTCTAACATCATTTAAATGTACAGGTAATTCATCACCCACCTGTCCTCAAAATGTACATGTAATTCAACTCTAACATCATTTAAATGTACAGGAAATTCATTATTCACCTGTTCTCAAAATATACAGGTAATCCTGCATTCACCTTTTCTAAATATTTACAGGTAATTCTCTTAAATGTACAGGTACTCAACACTGACAGTTATCTAAATGTACTGGAAATTCACCACCCATATGCATCTGTCCTCAAAATGTACTCTCATATCATTTTTTCTTAAATGTATGTCTAGGTAATTCATCACCCTGACTGTGACCAGCATGAAGTATATAGGTACAACGTACATGAATAAATAAGTAACTCAACACTTACCGGTCCTTGATTAGTCCCCCAGGTATAAGTATGCGGTCCAGTGTGCCCTGGTAATGGTTCGGGATACAAAACATGTCAAGGGGGTATCCACTAGCGCCATCTTCAATCTGTAACAAAAATAGCATACATTAAAACCTGTACTGTATCTCACAGATAAGAAGAGGATTGCCATTTGAATTCAATCTATCAATAATTTTCATTCTTATTCAGTTTCAGAAAACTGAATTTGCTTCTTTGACACATAATAGAGATTGATAGGGTCTATCATATGTAGGTATATATGGAGGACATGGATATTCTTCCCGAGGGTATAAAATTTGAGTCAGAACAGAGGTTTAATTGCCTTCATAACGTGTGAACACAAGCTTAGACCATATTTGGAAAGAGCAGAAAAAAGATGGTCCACGGTATACTATACTCATAGGAATTCCTAAAATTTTAATATCCATGCAAAACCTTTATAGGGCAACCTTATACAGCAATTCTGATGTTTTTGAGTACTTTGGTGTCATGATCCCTTGCTGATGGTAAGATGGCCACAGACAAAAACGCTTTGACAAACTTTCAATTGTGACGTCATGCTTAAACGCTGTCATCTGATCGTGATGTCATAAACTAACAGGTCAATGAGTATACCAATAATAATTATTTTTCTCTTACCTTGTTCACCCATGATATATCATATAATTATGTACTGTAATGTTAACGTTACAGGATAAAATCAGGGTTGACATGTGCCGTTGATGGATTGTTGATGTGATGTCATTGTATTGTTGACGTGCTGTCATACCATTGTTATTAATAGGGGAATTCCCCTGTCTCAACCCTAGGGTGAGACAAGGATATATCTCAAACCGGTAAAACTGCGGAAACGCCTGTCCAGGGTAAGAGAAATTTGTATCTAACATACACAGAGGGGTGGGGGGGATGGCAATGCGGCAGTGTTCCATACTTGAAAAAATATACTGGAGCCTTGCAAGAAAGGATATATGGCCTAAAAGTATACCAGGTACTTCAACAGCGTTTAATTCACTTGAAAAAGATTCTTTTTTTTTTAATGAGCTAAATATTTTTATGGGACAGAGGTTGAAAATAAACGGTCACTTGCATTGGGATACACAACTATTTTTATTTTTTTGACCCTCAGCTATTTTATAGTTTACCAAGATTGGCCTTGATCATTATGTTATGTCTAGATAAAACACTGACCTTTCCATATAGGTCAGCGTCAGCTTATCTAGTCTTACTTTTAGTGACCCGGTGTCAGGTGAACATCATAACATGTCAGGTATAACTGTGTTGTGAAGCTGATTTGCTTGTCACTGTGGGAGACATCAGCAAACATAGTTGATGGCACTAGCTGTTACTAAATGCTTGATAGAACGTAACCTAAACTTAATAGTTTGTTGAACATATGTATATTTATTTATGTCAGCAGATTTGTTATCATAAAAGTACGGCTATATATTGTACAAACCAAAAATATTTATCTAACCTTATAATGTTTAACAATGCTCTATAAAACTAAATTCAGAAAAAAGGTACAATACATTTATCAACAGAATTATTCAGCGAGTCCTAGAAACTGCAGAGTCAGCAACTTTAGAGTATTCAATCTAAACAGCTAGATAAAGATAATTTATTGTAATACACAATTAATGCACTTCAACAAACTGCGGAAACACCTGTCCAGGGTAAGAGAAATTTGTATCTAACATACACAGGGGGGGGGGAGGGGATGGCAATGCGGCAGTGTTCCATACTTGAAAAAATATACTGGAGCCTTGCAAGAAAGGATATATGGCCTAAAGGTATACCAGGTACTTCAACGCATTTAATTCACATGAAAAAGATTTTTTTTTTTAATGAGCTAAATATTTTTATGGGACAGAGGTTGAAAATAAAGGGTCACTTGCATTGGGAAGCACAACTATTTTTATTTTTTTGACCCTCAGCTATTTCATAGTTTACCAAGATTAGCCTTGATCATTATGTTATATCTAGATAAAACACTGACCTTTCCATATAGGTCAGCGTCAGCTTATCTAGTCTTACTTTTAGTGACCCGGTGTCAGGTGAACATCATAACATGTCAGGTATAACTGTGTCGTGAAGCTGATTTGCTTGTCACTGTGGGAGACATCAGCAAACATAGTTGATGGCACTAGCTGTTACTAAATGCTTGATAGAATGTAACCTAAAATTAATAGTTTGTTGAACATATGTATATTTATTTATGTCAGCAGATCTGTTATCATACAAAAAAAAAAGGTACAATACATTTATCAACAGAATTATTCAGCGAGTCCTAGAAATTGCAGAGTCAGCAACTTTACAGTATTCAATCTAAACAGCTAGATCAAGATAATTCATTGTAATACACAATTAATGCACTTCAACTTACTGAAGTAACTTTGACTGTTGATTTTGGATGATAATGTGAGGAATTTAGCATTGTTTCGACAATAGGCTCATTGGCTTCCATACATGTGTTAGCAGCAGTTTCACCAATACCCGGTAACCCCTAATTTTCAAATGGCCACAACATTCCTCATACATATGTACACTTACAGTGTGACCTAAAACAAAACTTATGATAAGGAAACTTTGTCAAAAAATACCCGTATCTCGTTTTATCTGTGGCAAAGATAAAACGTGCCTCTTGACTTTAGTTTGAACCAGCTTACGTCCTACTTGAATAACCTAATTTCCCGGTGTTGGATGGAGACTACAAAATTTCACCCCATTTTATCATGTAAAAGACAAATACATGCCATATACAGCATGCTTTTTGCTGCAAGTCAGGAAAGAACATTTATGGTACACCTTAAATTGTACCACCAAATTTCAAAATATATTTTTGAAATTCAATGTTTGTTTCAATCATGTTTTAAGGAACCTACATTCCTTGTAATCTTGCATTGCTGTATATACATATATATGTATTGTGATGCCTTTTAGAAAAAAAATCAGTTTAATGAAATTTGAGTACTGGTATTTTGAAACAAGAGATCCCAGAGGGATCTTGGCACCCACCTTTGTACCATCTTCATTAGTTCTTTGTCAGTTCGATCTTTTCTCTTCTTTCCTCTAATCTGTTTGATCGAGTCATGTTAACAGTAAATGCACCTTGAGGTAACTTTTGATCTAAACTTAATACTGATGTGTATGAAAGCCAACCTTCAAAGTGAGTTTGTCATTTCACATATTTACTAGTACAGTACTTAATGTGAAAGAAATAGAATCGATCATTGCAATATGAGAAAGATCTGTT